TGAAATATGGTGATTAAATGGTATTTAACCATCTGGATATAGTGGGGATTTTATGGAACGTATGGGAATATCATGGGTTATAATGGGGATTTAACACATTGTATATAATGGGAATATCATGTGAATGTCATGGGATATCGCCAACTACAACCAATTGATGCAAATACAAAAAGGGGGTTCAACTTCAGCAGTTGTCGAAAAGGGGAACTGTTCATCCCCTGGGTCCCAAAACTATCATGAAACTACCAAGCAGTTTCGTGAGGATCCGGAATTCCTTGCTATAGCGGCTATGTCAATGGATTGGTTTAAGGGAAAATCTACACCGGAAACCATGGTTTTTACCATCAAATAGAGGGGTTTCCGGTTAAAAAAATCCCATCATCCAGTTCTATAACGATGTCTATGTCCGACTGCCTTGGCCTTTCTCGCAGCAACTGAATCCTCTGTCGGGGGATCTCCAGGAAATGTTGTCGATTTTGCACCATAAATTTCTAGCAGCCGGAGCATGAAACATGGAGCGAGCGCATGGGTCATGTTTTTAACCACTCACTTCTTCACATCCTGAAGTAGATTCTTGGCTATATTATTGATTATTATATAATTATAATATTGTTATACAGAACACTTATAATAAATATAATAATAGATATACCAATAATCCTGAGAGTCTGTGTAAGCCAATGACGCTGGACGCTGGAGCCATCCCATCTGAAGCCCTTTTTGTGGTCGCTGCTTCGTTTCGAAGCCTGTGTGCATTTGCATGACTTGTTTCGGCAACTGACGACAAGGAGGACGGCCAAAATCATGATACACTGCTGGCTGGTTTCTCACCTGCCAAAAATATATGAGGTAGTCAAGTAGGCATCATCCCATGAATTGAAAAAGGTACGTAATTAGTTGAAGACGAAGACACCAACCAGACCCTAGGTAAGAATTGCATTCGGTTGACAATGTCCGGGATTTTGTCCCAGAGTCGACTAGTTCAAGGAAACGGGTGTATCCCACAAGTATAAGTCGGCTATGATGTCTGCAGAAATCAATCCAGGTTGAGCAGTGCCATTCCAAAAACATGTCCAGGCTGCCCAATTTTGACGCATTCTCACATTGTTGATACGGGGGGCGAAGAAAATCAACCATGACGGATATAATATGATGTACACCGCAACCTATACATATCAAAGAAGAACACCTCTGTAACTCTGTAGAGATGTGTTACATAATGATTATAGATTGTAAATACAGTGTTTCACCGATTTGAGATCTACGGTATTACAGATCGCCTCTGAAAGGGAAGATGATTACGGAGCAGTAGATATCCATTCTCTCCAAATGATTGTTTTAACAAACTGTATGGCAATGGACGATATGTACATGGTGTACATGTCAATTTATCTAGATTCGATGTATTAGTTATTACTGTAGTTCTTCTTTCCACCGTACATATGAGCATGTGTCTAGATGACGTATACTTTTTTTAAGTGTGCGGCTCATTGAGAGTTATTTCATGTTATTTCACTATTTCGTGAGTTCTTTATACACGAGTCTTATACATCACAGGTTGGTGATTTTACCCCATCCCACAACCAATGACCTTTTGTATGGTTCAAAAGCCAAAAAAAATTGAAACCAGCAGAGAGAAAGTCCTGACATTGGGAAAAGCACAAAAAAATATGGATACCCTCTGGTAAATTAACATAGACCCTGGCAGTAGTCGGGATTGGAAGATTAGTGAAACCATTAAAACTAGGCTATTTTCAGGGTCAACAAGTTAATTTACCAGAGGGTAAAACTGATAAAACACAATTTTAAGGCTACCTGGAGGGTCTAATTACATTGTTACCCTCTGGTTATTTAACATAGCCATGAAATCCATGGCCCATTTATAGATGGTTTACCTATGAAAAAAATGTGGATCTTTCCATGGCTATGTTAAATAACCAGATGGTAATATTAGTAAAGCAATAAACCCAATTGTCAGCTTATAAACGGGTTGTATATTAACCAATCAAAATATAGTTGGTTTTTATTGCTATTAGTAGCATTGCAGTATCTAACATTAATCTAATACATCAGACAAAATTCTTGCATTCTCAGGGAGGATCTTCTTGCAGATTCTAATGAACTATTAACCTAACTTCCAGTTCTAATATCAAACACATATATTCCCCTTCTATTATTCTAATAAGATGTATTAATCAATAGTTGACAATACACAAGTTCCAGTACATCAATTCAACTTTGCCCTCATCATCAACTTGCCAGGATTGGAACGCCGTTGGGTTGCGCCGCTGGTGTCTGTTTCAATGGGGATATCTCTCCAAATGGCATTTCTAGCAACCCCGAAAAAGGTAGAAAAGTGAAATCCCGCAATATTTTGGTGATAAATTGCTATTATTTATGATGATGATGATGATTATTATTATTATTTCAAATTGTCTATACTTCTATCTTTTTGAGGGTCCTCATAGGATGATTTACACGTGGAGGTACTGTGTAACCAGCAGTTGAGCTGCCATTTGGGTCTGTATCAAAATGGTGGATACCCCAATCTTTAGGTTCCAACGGTGAGAGATTCCATTCATGGGGGACAATTCCAATGCTGCACTACCCAAAAATAAACATGTAAAAACTGGCTGTTGACAGCTTCGGTTGTCTAGCACCCCCAACGCCGCGAGTGCGCGCAAATCTAAGCGATTTTTCAGCGGCCAGAAGGGAACTCATCTGCAAACCATGTGCGATTTTGGGGACTGGGATTCTTTCGGATCAAAAAAATCGATAAATCATTCTATTGCGGTGTTCCCGAAAAGAACGATTCTAGAGGTCTTCTGGTTGGTGGTTGACCTACCCCTCTGAAAAATCATGGAGTTCATCAATGGGAAGGATGACATCCCATATATGAAATGGAAAATAAAAGCCATGTTTGAAACCACCAACCAGTCATAAATGGTCCTATAATATTTATGGACCATTTGTTAACAGCCCTCCATTTGGTTGATGATCTACAATACCAAACCACCAACCAGTCTTTTTCTCAAATTTTGCCACGGATCATCGACATTACGACATTGCGACGTGATCAAAAATCCTCCTCCAATGGCCTACATTTTCTGGGGTGAAGCGCTACGAAACCACTGGTTTTATTGAAGCTATGGAGAATGGCCCATAGAAATCGATGAAAAAAACCTATGAATCATGCTGATTCTCCATAGCTGCTATAGCTGTGTTGAATAACCAGAGGATACCACAACTCTTCACCACCAAAGAGTCAGGTCTTTTATCGCCCCAAAAAGAAGCATAGCTGGGTCTATGATGGTCAATGCACTGTGGAAGCCTTGTTTTTGTTCACACCAAAATTGCTTGATGTTTTGGATGTTCCATCGCTTATTACCCTCTGGTAAACTAACGTAACTATGGGAAATCACCATGTTCAATCAAAAAATCCACTTATAAATGGTCATGTTCAATAGCTATGTTAAATTACCAGAGGGTACATGAAAATCATGCCCATCTCGGTATTCCAGCATTGCGAATCATAGGATATATTAAGAGAAAAAGAAACAATCCATTGTTTGGTGATAACAAATACTAACGTGGTAAACCCGGTAATAAACTATCCCCAAAATCACCGTTGTTATGGTTTATAGCACTGCTATAAACCATCCCCAAATGGTAGGTTTATCATGGTTTATATATTGGGTTTCTCCCATCAATCATCACCTCCCAATAATGAAATAGTAATGATAATCATTTATGATATTCATGAGTATAAGGAATTATGATAATTGATGATCAATCATCCAGTAATATAAATATAATCATCATCATCATCATAACTGGTTGGTGGTGACTGGAACCTTGGTTTATTTTATGACTTTCCATTCAGTTGGGAATGTCATAATCCCAACTTACTAATGGAACACATCCCTTTCTGCTCGGTTCACGGTGGAAATCTTTGCTCCACCGACTGGCCGTTCTGGCTGCTTGGAGGTCTTGGAGAACGCTACAAAGCGGCCGTGGGAATCATCGGGGGTTCGTTACAAAAAATGGGGATCCCAAAACACCACTGGTTGGTGGTTTAATGGTGGTTTAATGGTGGTTTAATGGGATATTATGGTGGTTCTTTTTGGGATCTAATGGGAATCTTAATGGATAACTGGGTGGTGGTATACCTACCCCCTGAAACATATGAAAGTCAAATGGGATGATGAAATTCCCAACTGAATGGAAAGTCATAAAATTCATGTTCCAAAGCACCAACCAGACCATGATTCAACAGGTAAAATGCTCATCCATAACTTGAATGATTTGGGGCTACCGCCTTTTGGGGCACCACGGACCGTCACGGCCCCAAAAAGATTGCTTCGGTTGACTGATTCCCAAACGGATCATCCCCGGTGATGAAAAAATGTCAACCCTGGATGAATAAACCCCTTTTACGGCTGTTTAATTGGGAGGCTACCATTTAAGTATCAGATGAAATGACTATTGGGGGAATAGCCCCTAATTAATTATTAAACCATGGTTTATCCGGGGTTGACATTCCTATAGTTTCCGGTTGAAAACCCCATATAAATCAAGGGGGATCCTCATCTCAAAATGGGCATGTTTGATTTAACAACAAGGCAACCAACCACACTTCGATGGGGAAACGGATCAATCCACCGTGTCCAACGCCCCGAGTTTCTCAGCATGGCCACAGTTGGGCCGCGCAGTCGCCGCTGTCACCTTGGGAGTGACTAATCGCCGTCGCAATGATTCTGCGACATACGATAGAGGCCATAAAATATCATAAAACATCGCCGTCAAAGTATATCGTTTTTGGCTGATAGCGGCTGATGGTCTAACAGATATGTTCACTTTTGATAGTTTTACCAACTTTAACCAGCACTGTAGACGCTGAAGATATGCCGCTCAAATGAATGTAGACACACAAGATCCCGACCACCCACTCTTCCCGGGCCTGAAAAATTGACACATCATGTAAAATGGCTTTAAAATGGCTATATCATTGGTATAAAATGGCTATAATATCCATGTGTTTTCACATCTTTCACAATGTCTATGGCTCGGTAAATTGCATGACTTCCAGGATCAGGATGCCAAATTCCGATGTCTCTGGGCTTGCCGGGCTGGGTCACACGTCGTGTCCGCGGCGTCGCGTTTGGGACTGTCCAGTGCCGTGAGGGCCGGCGAGGGGACCAAGCACCTGCGAGGATGGAACGGTTGAGGTGAAAAAGCAGGAAAAGCCGTGGTTTTTGATGGTTTTTGAATGATGGGTTTATTAACTTTAACTGTTCTATTGTTGAAGTTTATTCGGTGGCTAGTGGAAGTTGCTTGGAGTTTTTTGGGATAAAATATGAAGTTGATCTACCATCATCGGGATATTGACCAGTGTGTTTTCAACGGGGTTGAAGCATTTAAAAAACATGGGGGAATTAAGAATAATTGCAGAATGATTGCAGGGGGGTTCTACTGTCTTAGTTAGTCAATAGATTGTTTTCAAGGTAACATCTACAACAAACCCTGGCTGAATAACCTCTATTTCTTCGTTGGTTCCTGCACATTTTCCCTTATATAAAGGACAATTGGGGATTTAGTTATATAGATCTTGGCCATGGGATCTTTACCGCAATATAGATATAGATATCACAGTCACTGGATGGTCTTCAAGAACCTTGTTCTATCTTCTTCTCCCTTACTTCAGAATCATTGGCATCATTGGTCTTCGCGGAGGCATCGTCATGAGTATATAACATACATAATTTCGATGTATCTCATATTACATTTACATACATATCTTACATATATTTACATATCTCATTAAATCTCGGTTATCAACCACTTTCTAGGCGTCCAAGTATGGACCAAAACATGGGGAACGGATAGCGTACCATACATAGATGCCCAAGGGGCTAGCCAGTCGCCCATGATCTGACAGGAAAAAGGTCCTACCAATGTTTTTCCAACTCAAAGCAACGATTGTTGCATGATTTGGGGATCCCACATAGGCTGTAATGTGGGCCCCCTAGTTATAAGTTGGTTTATAACCCCATCTAACTATGGTTATAACATGTTATAACTACCATAAACCATAGTTATTGTAGTTATAAACCAACTTAGCTAACTATGGGGCACCACCTTGTATGAACCACCCATGAGTTATTGCTGGGTATCAATACCCCAAAAAAAATGCCGGTCAATATCCCGGTGGTTCATGATCAATACCACCATTCAGTGCTGGTTAATTGGGACCCATTTCCATGGTGAATATATCTGTTTTGATGGCCATTCCCAAAATCCATCCCATACATTTCCCCATGAAAAACCTTGGGTTTGCTTAAGGAGCTTGAAAAAAAATCCGCAAGTAGCGGATTTCCCATGGGCAAAAACAAAAACATCTTCATCAAATCCAGGAAAATCACTGATGAGATACCCACATCATTGATATCTGCAGGGTGTCAACACGTGTCCCCAGATGTGGCGAAGGCGGCTAAACCCGAACGCCTGCGGGTGGTTCCTTCATGGCACTGTGAATCCGTCCGGGCTTGTGCCACTGCGCAGCTTGACCCAGCGGAGATCCTTCTCCTATCGGGAAAAAACATCAGATATATATACTAGGGAGAATTAACGAATAGCCAACACTACTTGTTTATTGGATACTTCTCGGATAATTAATGGAACATTTAGAGATATACTATATATATACATTATATATATATAGACATAATGGGTCCCCCTAGATATAAGTTGGTTTATAAACCCATCGAAGTATAGACATTATCTACCATAAACCTAGCAAAAAGACGTAAAATTTCAAACACATAGATGGTTTCCATGAGTTACCGTTCATATTCAAGCTGGTTATATATATATATATTCTCATATATCATATATCCTATAAATCTGGGTAAATTACAATATTTCACTAACCTGAATTGTTGCGGCCATTTGGGGATGATTTCCTCTATTAACCATGATTTCCAGTGAGGGAGAACAGTGAGGTCGTTATAATTTACCCAGATATATATATATATATGCATGCAATTATACACCATGAAATGTCTATATTATACACGATTGATATCATCCAATTATCACTAATGTATATATCTAATTATCACTAATGTTAAAATTTACCCAGATAGATGTTCCCATAAATTCTTGGTTTCATATCCCAGGACCAGTCGTTAAAGGGCGGCCAAGTTGCTCAAAGGGACCATGGCTTTGGACTCCCTTCCTGGCCCGGACTGTGACTGCGGTGACTTCGCCGGGACGACTGACCCATGGCTGCCATCCTACTGGCGTAATAGGATATTTAATGGCATTTAATGGTGGTTTAATGGCATATTATGGTGGTTTAATGGGATATTTAATGGTGTTTTTTTTTGGGATCTAATGGGAATCTTAATGGATACCTGGTTGGTGGTTTCAACCTAGCCCGTACTGAAAAATCATGGAGTGAGTGAAAGTCAGTTGGGATGATGAAATTCCCAACTGTTTCTGGAAAGTCATAATCCATTCATGTTCCAGTCACCACCAATCAGAGTAACTATATTGCTTGTTCTCCATGGGGAGTTCCACTCAAAATATGGATCGACAAAAGCGTTGAAAAGGAGCCATGACCTACATGACAACACACATGCGGAGAGAAGTGATGTCTATAATATATATATATATATAATATACATATAGCATCATATAGCCATATATAGCCAATAAACTTCGGATTTTCACCATCATTCTCCAGCAGAACTAGCCAGCTGATCCTAAAATCCTCCACCTTTCGAAGAGCCGAGGATTCAACTAGCGGATGGTTGATGGTTAATGGTGCTCTTGAAATGGTTAATGGTTGATGGTTAATGGGATTCCCAGCCCCAAGGTTATTAGTGGCTGTTGATGGTTAACACCCTGAATCGATCAAGGGATTTATTGGGGCAACGGTTGAATCATGTTGAATCCCTTGAAAAAAACTGACGCAAAAAATATTGTTCCTTGGAAAGATGGATTGTTTGCCGCCACAAATCCACAGAGTCAGCTAGGTCCCGGCTGCTAAATCGGCCGGTTCATGGCCTGTTGGCCTGTTGGTCTTTTCTTAGCAGAATCTAATACCAAAGGTCCCAAAGGTCCAGAAATTTCAACCCCCGTGCCCTGGTTCACCGAGGGTTGCCCACTGGGAATGACTGTTTCTTTAATGGAACCCCCAAACCACACACCTAAAAAAAGGTGGTGACCCCAGCTATAAGTTGGTTTATAAGGCCTTTTTTTGTACCTAGTTGAATAGATCCACCACAAATCCTACCATTTGGTTCTTTAACATAGCCATGGAAAATCGTGATTTTTAATAGGTAAACCATCTTTAAATGGGCTATTTCCCATGGCTATGTTAAATAACCAGAGGGTATATGTGCAAACCAACTTAGCTAACGAACTGGGGCACTTGGGGGTAACCATGGCCTGCACTCACCGATCGCGATCGCTGTCGAGCTGCCTGACTGAGATGATTCGCAGTGCCATGTGTATAAGCTCTAGGAAACATGCTTGGCTGATTTTGCAGGAAAATCTGCATTTGCGATATATATATATATATGTTCTGAATAGCAAACCAGGTTGAATTACTGGCGAGAAATTAGGGAAACACTCCAGTACTGAACAAGCAAGTAACGTGAAAAACTCCAGCATGGAATCTCAGTTGTCTTGATGGCTCCCCGGGCTCCCCTTTTTTTGCATGTCTGCTTGCCGCACGCCTCCCCTTCACTTGTGCAACCATCCATGTCTGTGACCGAAGTATCGTAAGACTGACATACATTGACGTTTAAAACTTGATCATTTACCCACTGGTTATTTAACATAGCTATGGAAAATCACCATGTGTAATAGGTAAACCATCTATAAATGGGCCATTTTCCATGGCTATGTTAAATAACCAGAGGGTAATCTAAATAATCTGATATACTATATCAACAAACAATCTTACTCTGGTCGGTGGTTTTAACCATCTTGAAAAATATTAGCCAATGGGAAAATTATTCCATATATTATGGAAAATAAAAATCATGCTTGAAACCACCAACCAGTACTATATCTTACTATAGTATATGGACTATTTATGGTATCGCATTGTTAATATGGACATGTCAGGCCAGTTGCGGCCGAAACATTCCGATTGCTGGTGGTCGAGCCGCCTTGTATATTATGATTTGAAGTCATTTCAATATGAGAACAGTTGAAGTCATTGCAAAGAACATCATTGTTATTGTAGTTCTCATATTGTTAAACTCATTGATGTCAATATGATTTTATTAGTTTTACAACGCATTTGACACAAAATTCAAGTCAACAAGCAGTTCTACATTCGTTTTATACCCATGAACCATACCTAATTTCCCTAATGTGTGTTGTGCGACTCGACCCCAACACGTTTCTTCTGTTCATCTCTGTAAAAATTGGGTAGGGAACCTATAAAATCCACCAGCCACGATATTCCCTGTCAAAAATCAAGATGTTTTCTGGTTGGTGGTTTCAACCAACCCCTCTGAAAAATGATAGAGTGAGTTCGCCAATTGGGATGATGACATTCCCAATATATGGAAAAATAAAATTCATGTTCCAAACCACCAACCAGTTTTGGATGAGGATCCACTTCCCAACCAACCCACGATCATATCCCCATGATTGCTGATCATTGAAAATCCGCAAATTGCTGGTAAGTATCCCCAAAAGCTGATGGTTAATATATGATAATATCCACTAAGATCCATGAATATTCATGAGCATCCATTAGTATCCCAATTTCACTTCTTTGGATATCTTTGAACAAAGGCTACCTCTGGTTGCCGTGTTGAATCATCGCCATCCCCCAAAAAAATCGCCATACCTTGGGGGTATACTGCATTTTCAATCACACACCAACTTGGATGTAGTTGGTTACAATATATATATATATACATATATATATACATACATATAGACATCCCATGGTATCCCATTCATACCCATACCCCATGGAAACTTTCTGAAAAAATCCTGATTTCTTCAGGGTGATCCATCTCTGAAAAAAAGGCACCTTGCGTGGTCCAGTTATAAGTTGCTTCATCTTAACTATAGTTAGAACCACCAAAACCCAACGAAAAACGATGAAAAACGATAGTTTGAATAGTAGAGTGACTATAAAGTTTATGATTATTGGTTTATAAGTCCCATGACTACAGATGTATCATATCTCAGATATCTATCATCAACCCTAGTTATTGTATTGTTGGAGTTATGTTTACCAACTTAGCTATAGATCGGGGGCCCTACCTTGTGCTGGATCCATCAGGATTATATATATATATACATACAATGAATCCATGAATGTCAATTGCTGGCCATGAATGTCAATTGCTGCTACCGCAGATATCCATACCATTCCATAACCATATCATATTTTATGTTAACTTGATCATCACCTCAGCCCGTAGCTTCCTCCTTGGCTTCTCGGTGTGCTGCAAGTTGCTCACGAAGTTTTCGCGCCTGAGAAAGAGAGCATCGGGTTAAACGGTTAAACATTAAGAAATGTATTTATACGTAAACATCAAAAACTTCAGATTAACCATCAAGAATTCGGAAGCATCACTTAAAAAGCTTAAGATTTCACCATCACACATGGCGATTTAACCACCAAAATTCTGGAGTTCACTATCCCAAAGTGTGGAAATTCACCATGAAAATGTTGATTTCAACGGCGACGGGTGATATTGCAACAGAACAAACTGGGAAAAAACTTCATATATCTGGGTAAATTATAATATTTCACTAACCTGAATTAAGGCCATTTGGGGATGATTCCCCTTACTAACCATGATTCCAGTGAGGTCGCAGTGAGGTCGCAGTGAGGTCGTTATAATTTACCCAGATATATTTATTTCGACTGCCAAAACCAGGATTTAGTCAGAAATTACTTTCTTCAAGTGATCCCCACCCTGACACACTATTCTGACATGGTTTCTGACATACCATCTGGAAGTATATATGGCATATTTATGCATATTTATTCTGACATTCTTTCTGGCTCATACTCTGACATGCTATATGACGTTCTTTCTGGCATTCTATCTGGCTGACATTCTTTCTGGCATTCTATCCGGCATTCCATCGGGCATTCTGTCTAGCATTCTCTCTGGCATGAGTTCGGGTCCAGGCCCACTCCACAGCATCCTGAGCTTGCGATATGGGGACCCCACGGTATCCGGAGCTGGCGATATGGAGCGAGTGCAGCAAGAAGCGAAGAGGAGGAGAAGGAAGAGGAGGAGACGAAGGAGAGGCGGAGGCGGAAGATGAAGAGCAGCACCTTTGTTAAAATCTAGAGACCCTCACCTGGTAGATCGGGAACAACCTTGGAATTTCACCTAAACAGAAACTTGTTTCACCATAAAAAGGAACGATTTCAACAGCAAAGGAAGGAATTCAGATAATACTCACGGGACTGATACTCAGAATGATCCGTTCTCGCCAAAGTGTTGTGCTACAGTCAGCCCAAAAATGGCCCAACAAGAATGGGAAGATATCACCAATGGGATTTTATGGGATTTCATAGTGGTTTAATGTGGTATGAATGGGATACCATCTAGAATAAATATGTATAAGAGATATCTGAGATAGTGTTTAATGGGAAATCATCGGGGTTACTTGGTATTTAAGATGATGTACCCTTTGGCAATTTAACATAGCTACGGAAAAAAAGGCCCATTCATAGAAACGGCATGATATCAGGTGCCTCCTATTGCAGCGTGACTGAACATGGGGGTATCCCGGTATCCCCAGAATGGCGGAAAATGTCGGAAAAATGATGGTCAACTCCATGAATTTTGAGGTTTCAGACAAACTCATGTGCTGAGCCCAAGGGAATGGCAATTTCCGAATGGCTACCTCTAGGTACGGTGAGGATTGAACAATTGTCGAACGGTTTGACTACACAATGAATACTTCACACAGGCAACATCAGCAATCATTCATCATACCATTGATGATCTGATACCTAAATATACCAAATCTGAATTCTGTTCAATCATGAACACAAAAGAAACTTATTCATACAATATACCTACTAACACCAGCCATTGGTACATATGAACGCCTAGCAATGCCTACTTACTGCATCGCGAAAGCAAAACTTACAACCCCGTACCGGCAATTGAAGATGGCTGGAACATCCCAACCTGGCGGCTTGATGGAAATAGAAGATCTGGCAATAGTAAAGCAAGATTCACCATCCCCAATTTAACCATCAATGGGTGGTATAAACCAGGTATACCATCTATCATCATTTACCTGTAGCTAAAGGGGTAAACTAACCCCTCTATTAATCGACCAACCAGTGGGAAAAGGACATCTAGTAACATTGATCATTATAAACCATCCAAAATGTGGATGCCCACGATCTGAAACCGAGATCCCTGACGCGTGGGCTGCCAGCCTCGGCCCGGGAAGAAGACGTGAGGGGCTCAAGTGGGGCTTTTCTGCCCATTGATATGATTTATCTTAGTCTCCTTGAAGAAGGCGCCTCAGTTCGAAAAATGGTCGTGCCATGTCGTTGCGTTTCGAAAAACTTTGTAGCTTAAGTAGGATTGACAAAAATCGTGCTTGCAACATATTACCGATAGTTATATAGATTATATAGTCACCACTATGATAGTAACCACTATGATACTATTATTAATATACTAAAGCCACCACTATGATACTGTGTTTTTTTTTAGTATGGTATAACCACCATAAATCAGATATAACCCATGGTTCATTATATTTCTTCACTATAGTCAGAGGTCTAATGAACCAGGGTTATATCTGACTAGACCTATAAGTTTATTTGGCATCATATATTATAACCATACTTAGATGGTTATATGAAAATATCTGATTACAACTATACTACAGTAACAATTTGGCTCCTCTAAGCGGTGCAAAGATAACGAGGGAACCACCTTCTTAAGGTGTCTCTCCTGCCCTGCCTATGTCATAAGTGTTGCTTAACCCCCATGAACTGCTGTGACCGTGACCAATGCGGTCATCATTGGTCACCAAGCAAAAAGCCCTCCCAGCAAGGTAGATTGCAGCGGTGAGGTGAATACCTTTTATAGTGGATTTACCAATTGAAAATGGTGATTTTCTATAGTCATTTTAGTTCCCAGAGGGTACATATTTTGCATCTAGGAAACAAAACTACGGACGCTTGAGCGTTCGCGTCTTGGACTCCTGTACCAACATCCTCTGGCAAACCTCTCAAAGGGGAGTTTTGCAACTGCGGGAACATGTTGAAATGTTCCAGTGCCAGCTTGGAAACGGTTTGATTACTACAGCTTAGATTAAACTGAAGTTATAGGCAAACCTGCAGGACCGCTCCAACAAAATAATCAACTCTGGTCATTGAGATGAATGGAAACCTATTGCTCCAGTGTGTTGGAAAGTGGCATTCATGTGGGTCCCCAGTTCACCATGTTGATTGGATTTGTAGTCATGACCTCATTCTTCTGAGTACCCTCCAATAAACCAACATAGCTACGGAAAATGGCCCATTCACAGATTGTTTACCTATTTAAAAATATGATGTTCCATAGTTATCTTAAATTACCCATGCCTTGTCTCTCGATTCATCAATGATGTCACAAAAAAGAGCAGTTCGTGGCGTCGCTCTTGTATGTTGTACTGTCAGTTCCTGGCATTGTTTCTTGACCTTTTGGTGTATGCGTTGAAACCCGCAGATTTCATCAGCAAAGACCGGATTTGGCCTGACGCGATTCACTGGGCATATCAAGAACTGCGTTTTTCTCGGCATATCACAAGATTGTGGAAGAATTCTCCAGCAGATTTGGTAAAATTGAGCATCGTTATGCATCGTTCACAAGCCTCATTTCATTTAATCCTGGCTAAGAACTTGATTCCCACTTCCTGGATGCTGGTAATCCCTAATCCCATGAACACTAGGAAGTATAACTGTCAAACTAGCCATAAACCAACATGGCTCCCTGGCACAAAAGCTGCTCAACTGATTTCCCATCCTGCAAAGTCCCCAAGTCCGGCCATGGGACACCAAGACTTCGGAAGCTCAGTACATTTATGCGTCCTACCCTCTGGGAATTTAACCATATAATCAATACAATAACATAACCATGAAAAATCACCATTAAATAAATCGTCAAACGAAATGGGCCATGAATATTCCACGGCTATCTTGAATTGCCAAAGAGAAAACCTTTACTCACCAGCTGTTCCCTGTATGAGTGACATCACCATTGTTTGTTCGCCAAACTTACCTCTGACCATTGTTGGTTATACCCAAATGACCGCCAAAAAAAAGTGGAGCTAGTGGAGCTCCTGAAAAAGTATACAACCGCGATCAAACCCCATAGACCAAACATTCAACCTCGGAGAAGTTACATGAAGTTACCATGTATATATATATATATATTATATATATATGGAATTACACATGTTCAACGATTATATAAAGCCATAAATACTGTCAACCATATCCCATGTTACTCCAACAATCTCCCGCTTTGCCCATGCCAAGGAACCGTCTTGCGCAGTCGTCTCAAGACCTGGTAGACCACATTGCCGATACTTCGCTGACTGAATTAAGTGGGATAGCAGTTACAGTATATATATATATGCAGAGTCATGTATATAATACATATATATATATATATAATTAAATTATATTAAGATTATACATGGAAAAATTAAAGATCATTGGCTAACCTGGTTCTAGTTGGCTAATTGGGATTCCCCAAATCTCGATCGATGACCTGTCTGGATTGAAGGGACCATTGCAGCAGTAGCCTCAGGTAATTTAACATAGTCATGGAAAATCCCTCAGAAATGAAGATTTCTAGCTGGGAAAATCATCTATTTCTATGGGCCATATTCCATGGCTATGTAACAAATAACCAGAGGGTAGCTATTATTGACCATCACCATTGTTAATAGGTAAATCAACTATAAATGACCATGTTTCATGGCCATGTACCCTCTGGTAATTTAACATAGCTATTCAAAATGACCATTTATAGTGGATTTACCCATTAAAAATGGTGATTTTCCATTGCTATGTTAGTTTACCAGAGGGTAAGTTCTCTTCCTGATCCAAATCAGGGAAAAAATTGGGGTTTCCTAAGTCATGAGGAAACACCTCCACTTATCATCCATTTATCATAGGGATTTTCCATGAAAAAAAGCCTCCAGTGATTAGGGTACCTCCATGGCTATGGAAACCGCCGCAGTCATCCTTAGGTGACCTCGACAACCCCCCTGGAGGATATTTTTTACTTCGTACTGAATTCTTTGATTGTTTGATACTCACTAAATAGCCGAAACCCCGTTGTTTCAACGATTTGAACGACTAAAACACAACTACTGCGTGGTGTTTTGGAATCAACCACCCTGCAAAATGGTTTTGAGTTGGGAGTATCATCCCACGCATGGTTGAAATGGTTGGAATCGTTGAATCCACCAATTATATATTTTCTGGTCCAAACTAGACAGCAGAATGCACCAGAATGGGGTCCCAAAAAAGGACAATGGAAGGCTTTGAACAGCCTCAAAGTTACGTGGCTTTTTTGTGGGTGAAACTTACGGGTCTTCATTTTGAGTCTTAAACCACCCTAAAAGGGGGATGTTTAGGTTGCAAATCCAAAACGTATCCAGATGGCATTCCATGTCCATGTCAACATCACTCTAAACTCCTGGTATCTCCTGGTTGAGAAAATGAAATTGTCAGTGACTCTGCAGTGCAGGCATTGTTCTAAAGAACTAAGGCCCTGGGACAAACAGACTTGGACATTTTGAGTAGTAAACCAAAACCCATGTTTGGCATTCAGTTTCCAGGGAACTTTGAAAATTTTGAAAGTCGAAGTCCAATGCAAGGGAATGGCACAGTACTAACTCAGTACTTTCATTCAAGTACCTCGTGCCGGCTCGTGCCGGCTCGTGCCGGCCGAAACCATGTCCCAGACCCTTTTTGTTCAGTGATTTCCATCATTTGCACCCCCATTTCCGAGCCATGGTCAAAACTTAGTACATGTGGTATGGTCATCCATCCAATCATGGGATATTATGTCATGATAAATCCCTACAATGTGGAGCCCCCACCATGGCTAAGTTGGTTGCTAGCTACAATAACTAGGATTGATTAGGGGGATATGTTACGATATATCAGTTAGATGGGGGTTATGAACCCACTCATACTTAGGACCCCACTATGTAGGAATGGATTCATGAGTCTTATCACCTAATCTGGACGATCTACCTATGGAAACAAGACCCAAGTGCCAAGTTGGAAGGACTTCGCCGCTGACTTTTGCTCCAGTGAAGGCAATGTATTTTCTATGTGTTGGCACCTAGCCATTCCTGCGGGTCATGGATGGTATTGGACCATCCAAGTCAGAAGTGACGGCAAGTCATGTGTTGCACAACACGGTTCGATTTTTAACCCTTCATTGGGTGGGCTGGTGGATAAAAAGGTGTAATAACCAATTACAATAAAGTTGAGAAACTAATTACTGGTTGGTGGTTTCAACTCAACCCCTCTGAAAAATCATGGAGTGAAAGTCAGTTGGGATGATGAAATTCCCAAAATTAATGGAAAAATCCATTAAAATCCATTAAAATCCATTAAACCACTATAATCCATCTGAAAAATATTAGTCAGTTGGGATGATGACATTCCCAATTAATATGGAAATATATGATGGTTCCAAACCACCAACCAGTTTTGATTTTCCTCGTCACTATCGGATCTTCACCCGCGTCGAAAAAATGTCTGCCACGAGTGCGATGTTTGTGTTTCACTCTGCACCAGACTGGTGGCGATTTTCTTTCGTCATCTCGAGGCATTCGATAATATTTTTTTCTGTTCAAAATGGGTAGTCCTGGTAAACTTTAACACACCTTCTTGAAAGATTCATGACCACAGAAAAACATGGAAAAACAATTCCTTGATTGATGATTCATGCATAGTAAACAGAACAATGAAAACCCCTATCAATTGCAAAGGTTGTAAGTTTGCATTGGTGGGGTAACTAAGACTCCAAGCCTGCTGACGATTTTTGTTCATCCACTGCACCAACGGATGATCACTGGAAAATGAACGGATGAATAATGACTAAATAAGGGATAATTCATGGATAATAGTTCTGGATGAATGACACAATACATGTAAATACATGTAAATATATGAAAATAAATGTAAATAAATGTAAATATATGTAAATAAATGTAAATAAATGTAAATAAATGTAAATATATGCAAATATATGCAAATATATGCAAATATATGTAAATATATGTAAATATATGTTAGCAATGTCATGGGTTCTACGGCTGAAGGTTCATAGCAATGTTCACCCACAATTCACTCACGATTTCACACGATTTTTGAACCGCTATGTGTACCTTTTAGGGCCTTTACGTACCTCTTCGGGCCCTAGGGCTGTACCTTCTGGCTCCTGCTCACGATTACTCACGATTAAGGATGCTATATACCAATGTTCCTTTTGAGGTCCAGGACCTCAAAAGGTACATTTAAAGGGTGTTTACAGCAACGTTCCCTTTGAGGTCCGGGACGTCAAAAGGTACATTTGAGGTATCAGACATGGACGTACTTTTTTGGCCAACTTTCTACTTCTTTGTATATGTATATATACCCCAGGTCGTGCCCGGCCCGCGCCGACGGAAGTTTCGAAAAAAAACCAAACGGCTATAAGCAATCAATGGTTTGTAGGATTCTTTTGAGATGCAGAAACAATGAAGTTTTGAAGTTGTGAGGTGCATGAGCAAATTGGTGGCCGAGATGCCAATGAAATGACTGAACCAATGAATCAACTAACCAATGAACCAACGAATCATTGAATCAACGAATGAACGAACGAACGAACGAACGAACGAACGAACGAACGAATGAATGAATGAATGAATGGATAAGTGAATGAATGAATGAATGAATGAATGAATGAATGAATGAATGGATGGATGAATGAATGAATGAATGAATCAACGAATGAATGGATGAATGAATGAATGAATGAATGGAATGGAATGGAATGGAATGGAATGGAATGGAATGGAATGGAATGAAATGAAATGAAATGAAATGAAATGAAATGAAATGGAATGAAATGAAATGAATGAATGAGTGAATGAATGAATGAATGAATGAATGCATTCAATGAATGCATGAATGCATGAATGCATGAATGCATGAATGCATGAATGAATGAATGAATGAATGAATGAATGAATGAATGAATGAATGAATGAATGAATGAATGATTGGATGGATGAATGAATGAATGAATGAATGCATGAATGAATGAATGAATGGATGGATGGACGAATGAATGAATGATTGATTGAATGAATGAGTGAGTGAATGAATGAATGAATGAATGAATGAATGAATGAAATGACATGAAATGAAATGAAATAAAATGAAACGAAATGAAATGAATGAATGAATGAATGAATGAACGAGTGAATGAATGATTGATTGAATGAATGAGTGAGTGAATGAATGAATGAATGAATGAATGAAATGACATGACATGAAATGAAATGAAATGAAATGAATGAAAATGAAACGAAATGAAATGAATGAATGAATGAATGAACGAGTGAATGAATGAATGAATGAATGAATGAATGAATGAATGAATGAATGAATGAATGAATGAATGAATGAATGAATGAATGAATGAAATGACATGACATGAAATGAAATGAAATGAATGAAAATGAAACGAAATGAAATGAATGAATGAATGAACGAACGAATGGATGAATGAATGAATGGATGAATGAATGAAAGAACGAATGAATGAATGAATGAATGAGTGAATGAATGAATGAATGAACGAATGAATGGATGAATGAATGAATGAATGGATGGACTGATGGATGGATGAATGAGTGAATGAACGAACGAATGACTGAATGAATGGATGGATGAATGAATGAATGAATGATTGATTGAATGAATGAACGAACGAACGAATGAACGAATGAACGAATGAACGAATAAATGAATGGATGATTCAGTGAAGCAATGAATCAATGAATCAAGGGACGGGAGGAGTCGATTGACAATTAAATCAGTAAATCAGTGAGTGAATGAATCAAGGAGTACATGAATCAGTGAGATTAGTGAGCGGATGAACCAATGAATCTGTGGCAGTGTGTCAGTGAATCTGTGAACCTGTGAAACAATAAAGAAATGCACAAGTGAGGTAACGTATCGCTGAATCGATGAAGCACTGAACCAGTGATTCAATGAATCAATGAACCGATATCGCAGTGAATGGATGGCTCAGTGAAACGATGGTTCAATGAATCAGTGAGTCCATGGAACAATGATTGTGCGAATCAAATGAAACCATGAAGCGACGAAGCAATGAATCAATGAACCAATGCAGCAATGAATCAATATACCAGTGATTCAACGAACCAATGAGCCAGAAGCAGTGAACCCATGAATATCAACGAATCAATGAATGAACGCATGAATGGATGGCTGGATGGTCGGATGGATGGATCAATGGATGCATGG